ATAATTATCCTGTGCACCTTCTTAAAAGATTTATGGTTTGAGTTGCTGATTTTAATAACAATTGTTATATTAAAGTTATAATGAATGTGAAAAAAAAAGAAAAATGAATTTGGTATCTGTGTTGGGGTTGCATTGAAAATGTAGATTGCTTCTGGTAGGATTGTCATTTTCCCAATATTTAGTTTTTCCATCCATGATAGGGCACTTTTTTTTTCTTTTATTTAATCTTTTATTGTGCCTTGAAAAAGTGTTCTGTAGTTTTCTTTTTATGGGCCTTTTGTGCCTCTTGGTTCTCTGCTAAGTATCTCAATTTAAATGATATTACTTTCTTGGTTTCCTTCTTTGAGTTCTCTTTGTCAATGTAGAGGTATCTCACTGATTTTTAGATATTGGTTGTATAGCCTGTCACTCTACTAAATTGTTCTACTAGGTCTCACAGTTTGTTTGTTTTTGTTTTTGTTTTTTTTGTTGAGTCCGTGGCATTTTATGCATAGTCTATAATATCACCTGCATATAGCGATAATTTAACTGTCTCATAGCTGATATGGATACCTTTTATTTCCTTCAATTATCATATTGCAATAGCAAGTACTTCCAATACAATATTGAACAGAAGTGGTGACAGTGGGCAGCTTTGTCTGTTTCCTTTCAACAAGAAAAATGTTTTTAGTCTTTCTTCATTGGGGATATAGGCTCTTGGTTTTCCATATATACTTTTCACTATGTTGAGGAACTTCCCTTTTGTTCCAGCATTACCGAGTATTTTTATCAGGCACAGATGTTGGGTTTTTCAAATGCCTTTTCTGCATCAATTGCTGGGATTATATGGTTTTTATTATTTGTTTTGTTAATATGGTAAATTATGTTGATTGTTTTCCTTTTGTTGAACCATCCTTGCATAGTTCTTATGAATCCCACTTGGTCATGATAAATTATTTTTATGTGTTTTTGGGTTCTATTATCTACTGTTTGGTTAAGGATTTGTGCACCTATATTCATGAAAGTTATTCATATGTAGTTTTCTTCTTTTGGTAATATCTTTGCCTAGTTTTGGTATTAGGTTTATGCTTGCTTCATAGATAGACTCTGGGAGTATCTTTTCCTTTTCTAGTTTTTAAATACTTTAAGTGGAAGTGGTGATAAATGTTCTCTGAATGTTTGGTAGGACTTAGCTGTGAAACCATCTGCTCAAAGACTGTTTTTATGGAGAAGTCTTTTTATGACCTCTTCAATTTCTTTTAGAATGGTTTTGTTCCAGTGTCCTACATCTATCCTTGTGAATTTGGGTTCAGCATGAGTTTCAAGGAACTTGTCCATTTCTTCTAAGTTTTCAAATTTATCAGAGTACAACTTTTCATAGTATTCTGATATTAGCAATTTAATTTCATCTGGTTCTATTGGGAAATCACCTCTATTATTTTTTAATTTAGTTATACGTGTCTTCCTTTTTTTTTTCTTCTCTTTTTTAAGTTTGCCATCATTTTGTCAATTTTATTGACCCTTTCTAAAAACCAGATCCTGGTCTTATTGATGGTTTCAGTTGTTCCATTTTTTGTTTGTTTGTTTGTTTGTTTGTTTGTTTGTTTGATTTGTTTTATTTTGTTTTTTCTGTTTTCTAGAACATTGATTTCAGCTTTTAGTCTTATAATTTCCTTCCTTCTAGAGACTAGGATTAGATTGTTGTTCTTTTTCTATTTGATGAAGATGTTGTGTTTGATCATTGATTTTTCTTCTTCTTTTTTAATTTGTATGCCTACTGTTATGATTGCCCCATCCTCTTCTGCCTGAGCTTAAAAAATGCCAGGTGATTTAGCTAGACATAAGTGTTCAAGGCTAAATTTCCTGTGATAGTGGGTCTCCTGGTGCAGGACAGCAGTCTGGCAGGAGGGCAGTCTCCATATGCTGAGGCATGTTCCCCAACTAGTAGAGAAGCAGTCTTCAGGCTGTGGGACAGTAGTCTAGTGCTCTAGGTGGGAGCAAGGTCTGGGCCACACTGGAACTGCAGGCCCTTGACTTGGCAGTCAGTGGTTCTGTTGTCGCCTCTGTGTGAGTGTGCCTGGGATGTGCTGCAGCCTTTAACAGATGGTGGGAAAATGCTCCAGGATCCAGCCAAGCCACACAGGCCTTGGTATCTCGCAGTGGAGCAATGGTAAGGTCCATGACAAGTTTTTTTTCTTTCTTTTTCTTTTTTCTTGTGCTGCTATTACTAATATATCCTTATGTTTAAATATGGAGAATTTGACTGATATATCTTTAGGTTTTTCTCTGGGGGTCCAGTTTATTTGCGGAGTTCACTGAACTTTTTGAATGTGGATTTCCTCAGTTTTTCATTATATGTGTATAATTGTTTATTGTAGTGTGTTGTGTGTTTTTTTTTCTTGAACTTCTTCTACAATTTTATTAGTGCTTTTCCAAACCTATTTTAGATTTCTGACCACATATGTGTTATTTGATATTATTTTACATAATTAAAATATTTTCTTAATTTTCCTTTTATTTCTACTTTCTTCTCTACTAAGTCCCCAATGCATTTATTATCTTCTATCTTGCTGATTCTCTGGTTGATTTCTTTATTCTGCTTTTCTGTCCCTCTAGCATGTTGAAAAGTTTAGTAATTTTGATGTTGATATTCTGGGTTGCATGTTTATGTATTTCTGATGTTTCCAGCACTTTGTTGGCTGTTCTCTATCTTTTTATGATGTTTTTAATTATCATATCTTTTTATTTTGGTTTCAACTCTTTCTTCCATCATTTGTAACTTCTTTGATACCAGTTCATGTTAATGAATTTATTTTTCAAAATTTTATTCTTATTTATTTATGAAATTTTAATACATTGTTTCCCACAAAAGGTCCTTCCCATTTTCTTCACCCGTCACCCATCAAATCGTGCAACCCTATGATTAACACCGTACCCCTGCATCCTTACCCTTCTACTTCCACCCACCCCCACTCCTTGTATCCTCATACTTATTCTACGATAATGGTTTTACACAGTACTTGTCCTTTTGAGACTCAGTTAGTTCACTCAGCATAATGCTTTCCAGTCCCTCACAAGTTAGGTAGTAATTTACAAAATCATTGCTCCTGTGTGCTGTGTAATATTCCATTGTGTGAATGGAACAACTTCTCAATCCATTTAATTGTGGTTGAGCATTTGGACTGTTTCTATTTTCTTGCAATGGTGAATAATGCTGCTATGAACATTGGTGTACAAGTTTCCCTTTGAGTCTCAGTTCTCATTTTCTTGGGGTATATTCCAAGCAATGGAATAACTGGGCCATATGGAAATTCGATGGTCAGCTTTTTGAGGAAGTGTCACAATGCCTTCCAGAGTGCTTGTACCATCCATTGTTTAATCCTACTACAATGTAAAAGAGTTCCTTTCTCACCACATCCTCTCCAACATTTATTATTTGCTGCCCTACTAAACTTTGCCACTGCTACTGAAGTAAGATGGCATCTCATTATGGTTTTGTTTTGTATCTCTATTATTGCCAGTGATTTGGAGCATTTCTTCACGTCTTTTGGCCATTTGAGTATATTCCTCCATGAAAATTCTTTCCATGTCTTTTGCCCATTTTGTAATTGGGTTATTGGACTTTTTCTTTTTCTCAGGAGTATTCTATAACCTTTCTTTATGAGACTCTTGTCTGAGATGGTAATGCTAAATATTTGTTCCCAGTCAGTAGGTTTTCTTTTCACCCTGTTGGAAAAAGTTTTCAATGAACACAAGAATTTGGGGTATTAATTGGGATTGTGATCTGGTCTACTTTTTTAAAGGGACAGCTTATTCTGTTTTTCTCGTAGTATTTGAAACTTCCTGCTTCCTTCTTAACATTATATGAATTTCTTTTTAGTATATATGAGGTAGTTTCTGTTCTGCATGAGTAGGCTATTGTCTTTTCCTTATCTTTAGGATGCTTTTGATTGAGTTTTAAGTGTTGAATTTAAGTATTGATTATAGACATTAAGTGTTGTTCTTGGTTCAATTTTCCAGTGACAACCTCCCTGCAGATCATTGTCTGTGGCTGTTTTCCATTTATTTTATTAAGTCTCCCATCCAGTTATTGTTTGAGGGGTGGGAAGCTGGGGTTCCTGCCTTTGTCCAACTGTATTGGGCTTACTTCTCTGTCTGTCTTGTAGTTTGATGGGAAGGATCAGTTTCCAATAGAGGTAGGCAAATTTCAAGAGTGTTTCAGGGGTCGTTTTGCTAGTTAATGTCAAGGGAAATGCCGGAAAGGTTGTTGTTGTTAAGTGCCGTCACGTGGCAGGCAACTCATAGCGACCCTGTGAAGGAGAGTCCTCGATGCTTGGGTGCCTTTCTTCCTCTCTCCAGGTTCATAGGCTTTCCGGAGTCAAGCTATTACGGAAGTGGATGCCACTCCTCCTTCCAAGCTTGTTTTCATTGGGGAGCTTCACCCCACTCTCTGTCCACATTGGGCAACCAGCCATTAATGCATTTGACACATCAGTGTCACAGTTTTGAGCCTCACAGCAACCACAAGTGACCACTGTATGGCAACTTGTGCACCAGGGCTATATGGCCTAGAGGAATGTCCGAACAAAAACAATGAAAGACAGTGTCTTAGAAGCCCTGCATGCCCAATTGCTGGGAAACTCCCTGCTCCAGACCCCCATTCATCTGGCAAGTCCACTCTGCCAACACCCTGGTGGACCCCAAAGAACCACCACACAGGTCTAAGGGTACAACACTTAAATCTAATTTCATGCATACCTGCCTCCTCTGACATGGCTGGTTAAGAGGGTGAAAGTTCATCCTGACTAGACAAAGTCTCAGTGAAATAGAAATATCCCAACAGTGCAACACCCGAGTCTTAGGTGATGTTAGCGATTGATTCTCCTACCCATCTCCTACCTATGTAGGTAGCTAGAAGGGAGCTTTTCTAGTCTCTAAATATATCACTATTTTTACTGAATATGGAAACTAAGCAGATTACTTTACAAAATATTATTTACTTGCTTTCTTTGTTTTTTTAGGGCTTCAAGTACTTCTCCCAGATTATCTTCAGGAACGTTTTGTACAAGCAGCTTTGAGCTACATTGCTTGTAATTCAGAAGGAGAATTTATTTGCAAGGACAATGACTGCTGGTGTCAATGTGGTCCCAAATTTCCAGAATGCAACTGTCCTTCCATGGATATTCAAGCCATGGAAGAAAATCTTCTTCGAATAACTGAAACATGGAAAGCTTACAACAGTGACTTTGAGGATTCAGGTAAGATACTTATTTTGATGCACAAAATGAATTGTTGTGGAGATAAAGAAAACTGAATTGTAAAGACTTTTATCTTTGTGGTTTAAATAATTATAGATTCTAATATTTATCTTCTAAAAGAACCTTCATATTATTGTCATAACTAATTATTCATTATTTTCTGAATGCATATATAGGACTTTAGTTATATTTGCATGTTTCTAGGATTCAAATCTACTCTACTCATGAGTTGTTATATTAGTCATTTATTTAAGAAAGCCTTTGCCTCTTTCAACACTAGACTTTGCCATCTGATATCTTTGAGATCTCTTTTTTTTTATTGTGTTACATACTAATTTTTGTTGTTGTTTTAATTTTTATTTTATATTGGTTTGCTTATAAAGTTTATATACATCATGTTTGACACTATTTGTCATATCTTTGATGGTTTTCCTGGACTCTCATGACCTCTGAATTTCACTTGTGAAACAAAATACAGGGATAGCTTGTTCGAGATATAATTTACACCAACATGAATCTTATGAGGGGTAATATAACTTCGCTTTGTATTTTGTTAGTCATTATTATATAAACTCTGATTTAATAGTTTTCTGCGGGTTCTGCTATTGCTATTTTTTAAATTTTTATAAGTTCATAGTTCTGTTAGAAAAATTGTTTCTTATTTTCAGCATAACTTATAAATTTACATTTGAGGGACCAGTCATTGGAAAGAGACATCATGAGGACATCACAGGACAAGAAAACCCGGGATGAGATCTGAGGCTCCATCTAACTTATTTTGGACATGTTGTGAGGAGGGACCGGTCCTTGGAGAGGGACATCATGCTTGGGAGGGTGGAGGGACAGCGCAGGAGAGGAAGGCCCTCTATGAGGTGGATTGATTCAGTGACTGGGATAATTGGGATGGGAGTGTCAGAGACAGTGCGATTGGCACAGGACAGAGCGGAGTTTAGGGCTGTTGTACATAGGGTCGCTATGAGTAGCAAGCGACTTGACGGCACATAGCAACAGCAACCAACAAACTTTGCATTTGAAATTCAACAGTGAATAAGGAAAATTGAAAAATTGTTTCTCTTGAATTGTAGTGTTGGCAAAAGTATTGAATATAACATGGCTGCCAAATAGTTGTTCCTAGTGTGGCAAGAATAATCCTTAGGAAAAAGATGATGAGATTTTGTTTCAGATACTTCAGATATGGAAGGAAGTACCAGAATCTGGGAAGGGATACCATGTTTGAAAGGGAAGAAAGTCAGAGAAGCAGAGGACGATTCTCAATGAAATAGACTTACATTGTAACTACTTTAATGGGTTTGAGCATTGTGGAGATTGTGAGGACAATTGAGATCAAGCAAGGTGTGGTTTTTGCTTTTTTATTTAAACAGGGCCACAATATGTTAAGAATTAACTCAACTGCACTCAACAATAGCACTTTAATTCTGAGATATATATGATAGATAGATAGATATAGATATCAATCTGTATGTATCTATCTAGCTATCTATCATCTACCTATCATCTATCATCTGTCATCTATCTCAGAGCTCTGGTGGTAGAGTTTTTATCAAGCTTCGTGATAAAGATATCCTAAAGATAGTAAATCTCCAGTTATTCAAATGAGCACTTCATTAGAACTTATGTGGGGAAGAATTGTCTGAAAGGAATATATGATTATATATTTATAATTATATGTATGACAACATTATATACATTATGTGTATGACAACAATCTGTAATAAGAAGTGTATTGACTGAGAAAAGGAAGGAGATGGGGGAATAGTGGAGAAAGGGGAAAATGTGCAATAGTGAATGAATCAAAATCCAACCTTTCTGTAAATTTTTATTAAAATTATTGTTGTTGTTTGCAAGTTCCATCGAGTTGCAAGCAACTCATAGCGACTCTATGAATGAAAGTCCTCAAAACTTGTGTGGCTTTCATCCTTTCTCCACGTTCATAAGTTTCTGGAGGCAAGCTATTAAGAAAGTGGATACCATTCCTGCTTCCAAGCTTGTTTTAATAGGGGAGCGCCACCAAACCCTGTCCATTATGGGTAACCATTCTCACATTTGACACATCAGTGTCACAGTGTTCAATTTCACAGCAACCACAAGTTACCTCTGTATGACAAGTGCACACACCAGGGCTATACAACCTAGAAGAATGTTTGAAAAGAATTTAAAAAATTATTAAAATTACAAATTTAAAAATAACCAACAAATTCATTATAGGCTTGTGGGAGGAGGATGAGCAGTCTCCTCCCATTAGGATTTACTGTCTTGGAAACTCAGTGGAGGGATACTATGAGTTAAAAAATAACTCGTGTGTAGGTGTTAAGAAATGTGTGTAATAGTGTTATATATTGTTGTTGTTGTTATGTGCCATCGAGTCGTTTCCGACTCATAGCGACCCTATGCACAACAGCTCTAAACCCTGCCCTACCCTGCGCCAACCACACCGCCTCCAACACACCCATCCCGATTACCCCAGTCACCGAATCAATCCATCTCATAGAGGGTCTTCCCCTCCTGCGCTGTCCCTCAACCCTCCCAAGCATG